TTGTTTAAATCATATGCATTTGAGTTTGAGGCAAGTAGAAATGATTTCATATCGATTACACATTTGCTTGATACAATTAAAATATACAAAAAATAATTATTTCGAATCAACAATATAGTCAATTTCATTATAATTAATACAACTGCATCGTTTAGTTGATTCAAATATAATTATTCTTAATTCATAAATCTTTTTGAATAGTTATATTAATCATTTATTATATGTTATATTTAAGTACACTGTTTTAATCATATGCATTTAAATTTAAAGCAAGTAGAAGTGATTTCATATGACACTTTGCTTCATACAATTGTGTAAGATTTTCGGTTATTTAAATATCACCGTTGGTCATTGGTGTAATTAGCGCATCTGGTATTTGCCGAATTCCTTACCTGTCAACGCGCAACCGTGTCGCGCAGGTGACGTAGATCGGAATTCGGCAGAGGATAGCGATTAGGCTCGCTGAAATGTAACGACGAATCGAGTTCCAATAGCCGAATATCTTACAATTGAAATATATGTGAAATTATCAATACATTTATTTACACGTATTTGTATTTTTTTACTTTACGTGTATATATATTTGATACTCACAATTATGTTAAGTAAAAATATAAAAATAATTATATAAATTAAAAATGTTGAGTGCAAAAAGCACAAGCAATACAAACATACAGAGAGACAAACGCAAACAGACCGCGCGCGTGAAAACGCGTTATAACGCGTACATGGAAACTAGTGATATTTCGGAACACACTCTAAGACAAATGACTGGAAGAAGAAGGAAGAAGAGAAAAGACTCTCTACGCGGCACGCGCCATTGTGCTAAGCTGGTTGATGTCGGTTACATCGTTGCGTGTCTGATAACTCTTTTGCAATTTTAGTAATGCTTATAATTGTGTTGATACAATACCAGTGTATATACCTAGTATATTTGCAGTGAGTGAACATTGTTGAATTTTAATAAAAGGATTATATCATTAAATATCATCAGTACGTATCGCCGATATAATGGCCGATGAAGAAACAATCATTCTCTTGAAAGCATGGGGCTTCGAAAATAGTCTTATTCAACATTTTCAAGGTAAGTATTATTAAAATATAATATTATTATAAAGTAGGAATAGTTATTAGCTTTTCATCTTTCATTGGGTGCGTTCAAGCTAGCAAAGCAACTAGTTTGCTCGCCGAACGATTGATTCTTATACTTATAGATACAATTAATTACATTCAACTACTCGACAAGCAATCTAGCTGTTTCGTTTAGTTTTAACACAGCCATAATTAGTTCAGCATCTGATACAACAATGTACACAAAAAATTAATTAGATTTTTCATGAAATTATGATTGAGCAGTCTTAACATTTTGATATGTTACATTAAATTATTTTAATATTTTATATTTATATATTTTGATAAAGAAAACTTATCGTTATATACTTATTTTTTTGTTATACAGCACAAGAGATTAATATGACATTATTGAAATGCCTAACACACGATTTAATAAAAGAGTTGATTCCAAATATTGGTATAAGGATGCGTTTTATAATAAAATGGGAGGAGCATTTTCGAATTCCAAATGAGAAAAATGTAAATTTTGTTTTATTATGCATAATATTTTTTTAGATCTAGATAATATTTATTGTTATTAGAAGTATAAAAATTTGTTTCTAGCAAACATATTCGTTCGATAAATATTTGCTTTTTTCAATGAGGTGTAATATTAATACAATTATATTCTATTTATTTCAATCAAATACTTTCTTAAATCAACTGTATTAATTCTTAAACTGTAATAAATAGTATTTGACATATTTGAAATTGAATTTTAATGAAAGGTTTTAATAGTTAAATAAATTATATCGTAGATTCAAACAAAAATATCTTTGTATCAACAAAATTTGTTTAATGGAACAAATACATGCAAATTTTTATTGAATGAATATGAATGTTGTAAAATTTTTTTTCTTAAATTGTTCAATATTTTGTTATTGCGAACATTTGTAATTTCGTGTTGTAGAGATGTTTTTTGTACAATTATGTTTAAAAAAAAATATTTATAATATCATAATTAACAAAGTTTAATACCGATATTAGTTTCAGTTAAAGAAATGCATGCTAATATATTTTTATACCGCACAATCTTATTTTTTACAAAATCTTTATTTTTTTTAATTTTACAGTAATAGAAATAATTTTTTTATGTACAAATATCTGCAAAGTATATATAAATGTTTGTGACATATTTACAAAATATAAATGGATAATATAAACAAATTTAATTATTTTCATGTTATGTATAATAATAATTATTTTGTACGTAATTATAGGAAAAACGAGAGCCTTATAGTACTGATACACTAAGCTCTTCATTCTCCGAGTCAGAAGAAGAAAATACTGATCCGATTGTTTTGAAAAAGCAAAAATGTTTTGTTGGAAAGGAAATGTATAAAAGACTTCAGCGGCCTACTGTTCGTGAAATATTGAAAGAATGTGAGCAAGGTCGTATGATATTGCGAACTTATTCCCAAACAAAGATACTTTCAAAACATTGCCGCAATATTCTTGTTGAGTTAATAGTATCATATTTACTAAATACTGTTAAGGGGTACGTTAATTATTTTATATATTACTTTAATATATAAAAAAATTTATAGTGTAAAGATTCTTTTATTACAGCCCAATCAATAAACATGATTTCCTCGATCTTGCTCGAGGTATAGTAGAAATATTTCCATCGGAGGATATAAACTTGTACTATAAACCACCGATATCTAAAAAGGAATCTTAAAATCAAAAATCGACATCTGTACGAGGCAAACTCGTAGATAAATACCGAAATAAGTTACAACATTGACAATTGTCGTCCTCAAGTTCAGGATATTTTTAGTTATTCTTTTATAAAAATATTATGTTTCATAGACATGATCATTTAATATTATTTTTATTTCTATTATCTCTATTTTATAAAATTAATTTTATTAAGATAAACAATCTCGATTGATCATGTCCCGGAGACATATTTTTTGACTCATAATCATAAACAACATTCAAAATTTTTTTAATCCATTGAAAAAATTTTCATCCAAAAGTTGTATGGTTTCGACGTGGACATACGATGATATCATTGCTTTGGCCATGATTGACGTCGTCAAGTTCAGGACATTATCAATTATTCTTTTATAAAAATATCATATTTCATATACATAATCATTTAGGATTTTTTCTTTATTTT